CAACTGCCATACAAATAATATTCACACACTCTCAGTATATACATGCCTCCCACTGGTATCTTGTGTTCCTTTCTTCCCTTTTTAGCTTTGATCCATGGTTGCATTATGAACTGTTCCATCAAAATGCACGATTCATGTAGGTGTTCCTAGAGGCTCACAATGTACCAGTAAGCTGATGATTCACAAGGAGAGGGCTGCAAACATACCTCCACATCTAGTTAGTATGAATTGTAGCATTCTTGTAGAAGGATACATGAGCAAACAAAAAGACTTCCACCTGCAATCAGAGAAGCCCTATATATTTCCTCCACTGCCCAGCATTTATTTATGCACCTACCTGGAGACTATACAGTAGATGTGCGTGTGTATATAATGTGTTTTTAAAAGAGACTGGCTTAGATCATAAAATATGTTAACTTAGGAAGTTCAGAGAAGGAAGGTTTTCACTTCTCTCATTCTATCTTCCACAGAAAGTCTCTACAGTCAAACTGAAGAAGTATCTAAAGAATACAAGATGGAGCCTGAGATGTGAGAAAATCAAGAAAAATCAGAACCATTCACCAGATCTGAAACTTTCTCTCATTTTGCAGCAGTCCACTTTCAGGAGAGCTACAAAGCACATTGGAAAGATCTTTAAACATGTTGGCAGATAAGCAGGGCCACAACACTTTCTAACATGCTATAATGTATGTATTTTCAATGCATTCCTATGGGAAATGCAGATTCAACATAAGAACTTTTCAACTTGAGAACCACCTTCCAATACGGATTAAGTTCTTAAGTAGAGACCCCACTGTATAATGTATGTCACTCCTCATTAAATCATGAAATTATTCCTAGACAATCCTTGAAATTCGATTCTCTTTCACTATATATAGTTCAAGATAAAACCTATCCTCAAAACCATAGAATCAGCCTTGAACATCTAGACTAGAAGCAGACAATCATGTGGGTAACTATATATGACATCTAGGAAATTATTGCAGGTCATTATTGCTATCCAGGAAACCTTAATCTAAAGGTTGGTACATTTAAAATATATCAACTGAACATCAGTTCAAAGCACATGAATAAGAACAGAAAGACTCATACATTTTTTGGGGAGAAACCCAAAATGTTGAGATGGGCACTGTGATACCTTGCATTGTATACCAAGCACACTTCGATGTTTTAACGAATTACTCAGTGTAAACCCAGAATTCTATACAAACCATCCCCCCAAATTATCTTTCTTAGATTTAGTAAACTACATTCTCCGATAGTGTAAACCCAGAATTCTATACAAACCATCCCCCCAAATTATCTTTCTTAGATTTAGTAAACTACATTCTCCGATATTATTCATGAAAACAAACAAGAGATTACTACTCAACATATAGCATTCATACAGTATGTATATATCACATGCATGAACTAGATAAGGACCAGGTGGTTGTTGCAATGTGACATCAGTCACTTATGACTTATGGAGACCCTAATAAAGTTATTTGGGTATGTGAGATGTTTAAGTAGTGGCTTTACCATAGCCATCCTTCAGTGAGTTACCATGGCCAAGCTAGGACATGAACTGAAGTCTCCTCAGTCATTGCCCAATGCTCTTATCCACTGTACCAGCTGCTATCATGGCATGAGATACTGAGACGTTTTCAAAATGGGAAGCATAAGAAAGCTCTCATGTCCTCAGACTGTGACACTGGTTACAATTATCATTGTGCATTATCCAATACATACCCAGAAATGAGAATATGATCCAATTCACCTGGCTATCACATCTACAGTTGATACACAAAAAGAACTACAGATTACTCTAAGGCTCTAGTTTATCCCACTCTGTTGACCCCTGATGGAAAGGTTGGGATTGCTCTAAAAAATGTCAGCTACAATTACATTCTTGTTAGAGCACTCCAGCCTGTCCCTAATGGGCAATAATTCATTCCAGATTATCTAGGGTTCGAGCTTACTGTTTATTGAAACTATTAGCATCAGTCCAAATAAACATAGTTTCTTGCTGCGTGATTTCCTAGATCGCTCCAGTATGGAGATGTGTTCTTTCTATACATCAGCGGTCATATAGACAGATGGGTGTGGCTTGGCTGTGACTGCAGGTGGTACCCTCCAACCTATTTTGAACTGGGGGGAAAAGGCATTTTTAAAATTAAAAAATATTTCCCACTATTGTGCTGCACACTATAGAGCCTGTGTCCTGAGCACACTCCTATACTGCAGCGAGTCCTGGACCCTTTGTCCACGGCAGGAGAGGAAGCTGAACACCTTCCATATGCGTTGTCTCCGACGCATTTTTGGTATCACCTGGCAGGACAAAGTTCCAAATAGAGTAGTCCTAGAACGAGCTGGAATTTTCAGCATGTATACAATATTGAAACAGCACCATCTACGTTGGCTTGGGCACGTCGTGAGAATGGCTGATGGTCGGATGCCAAAAGATCTCCTGTATGGAGAATTAGTGCAGGGAAGCCGCCCCCGAGGGAGACCACAGCTGCGTTACAAGGACATCTGCAAGTGGGATCTGAAGGCCTTAGGAATGGACCTCAACAGATGGGAAACCTTGACGTCTGAGCGTTCAGCCTGGAGGCAGGCGGTGCATCATGGCCACTCCCAATTTGAAGAGACACTTGTACAGCAGACCGAGGCAAAGAGGCAGTCCCGAAACAAGCAAAACCAGGGACCTGGACAGGGGACAGATTGGATTTGTCTCCAGTGTGGAAGGGATTGTCACTCTCGAATTGGCCTTCTCAGCCACACAAGACACTGTTCCAAGACCTCCATACAGAGCACGATACCATAGTCTCTCGAGACTGAAGGATGCCTACA